ACTGAAACATAAAAAAATACAATCACAAAAAAAAAGAGGGAACAGAAAACCGCCATGTATACGCTAGTTGTCCCTGGGCCCGGCTAAGAGCGGTTTACAGAAAGCAGTTGGCGACAGCGAAAAAATGACCAAATGGCATCGGCCATTTTGGATCCTTTATTTCGAATTTATCTTATTTATTAGATCTCCGTTTAACAATATTAGGAACCTTCGCATACTAAGGTTTCACGTAAAATAATCCTCGTATTGAAAATCATGTATTACAGGGAAGGTAAAATATTAGGAACCTTCGCATATCTCCGTTTAACAATATTAGGAACCTTCGCATACTAAGGTTTCACGTAAAATAATCCTCGTATTGAAAATCATGTATTACAGGGAGGGTAAAATATAGGACTTTAACTCGAAAAATGACGATGTTCCCCGCATTTTCAATGAAAACTGGCATTATCGTGTTCAGCAGGTCAAAATCTATAAGATTCACTATGTTTTACACTTTTCCATTAGTGGGCAAAAAACAGCCTTTTCTATACTATGTTCTTTGAAGTTATTATCAAAATAATTAGCATTTACTATTAGTAAAGAAGTATATCGTATATAATTGGTCTATTTTTTGTTTTACTTGAACTTCTTTGCCGTTTATTTTTCTCTTTTCTCTCCAATGTAGATAGAAAAAGAGAAAAGATGAATGGTGCAAGAAGTTCAGCTGAAAAGAATAAATCTAAAAGATCAATGTACGTAGAATCGCGTGATCAACATTAGAACTCGATTTCACAATTTAATACGTATATCTGTCTTTTATGTCCATTGAGGTACGCTTGACGGAGCTGCAAATCTAAAAAGAAAAACACAGTTATCTGTAGTTTCGCTATTTGTAATTTGCAAGGGAAAGAAAAACAATGTCGGGAATCGCAGTTGGGAATTTTAAAGATCGAGGCAAAAGGCATCGCGTTATAGTAATCGAACACTTTTACGGTGAAAATCACCATGCTCAACGTGGTTTCACGTGCATTCGTCGCGTGGTGGTATTTCGCAGTGACAATGGTAATTACAGGGGAAATAGCAGGCAGGAGATTTCGGATTCTTTGGAGAACCATATGAGCGATTCGTAACTTCCGTCGCCGGAGCGACGGGTGGCACTGCGTGAACATGAACTTCACATTGTAGTGCACGCAAGAAGTGTACTTTCACTTCTGGTGGATCCACCCGACGTAGAGCCAATGACCTACTAACACATCGAATCGTTCATCTTCACTGCTACGATTGGCCCAGCAAGGCCGTTCATCAAGACTATTTAATGAACAATTATATACTCTTGTTTCTTTTTGGCATTTTTAACATTCTAACGCTTCGAAAACTGACCCCAATTTGTCTATGGCCTACTCATGGTCAACGATCAAAATCAGTGTCTGGGAAAAATCTATTCATTACACGTAGATATTTTTATGTTTATGATAAAAATTTATTGATTAATGCAGAATTATTTTTTAAAAAGTTAGCGAACTAATATTATAATTACATAAGTGATTGGAAATATAGAGATTTCAGGTTTCAAGTTTTAGAGACATTAATTATGAGGAAACCTTATTAAAGTGTTACTAGCGCGTCGTTTTCTCTTGCTAATGCCGTGGGTGATAATTTCATTCGACAGAGATGCTGATGGATTTAAGCACTTTCGGTAAATCTTTCTCGTGTATAAATGGCATGATCTTTGGTTCCGGGTGAACTTCTTTACTTTCACTCGTTACGGAGGATCGTGACGCAAACTGGATTTCGTCCCAACCAGTCAAGAGGAATTCATTGGCCACGTGGAAGTTAATTTCGAGTTTGTTTCATCTGCCTTTAAGCATTGCCGCATACAAGAATTCCCTGTGTATTTATGTCAACCCTTAAATCATGGATAGTAGAATTTAAATTTAAAAGAAATAATATTGAAGAAACACACACACTTCCCGTTGCGAGCAATCGTAGATTATATGTTTAATAAAAAAAATATCAGTAGATAAAGCCTCTAAAAATTCTTATCTTCTAAAAATACAACAATAATAATAATAAACTTGTTGAATGCAAATACTAAATCGGCATGTAGAGTATGTATCATGTTTTCTACCTCTATTACTTTTATCGTTTTATAAACGGGAGCAATAATCATGGATGGCCAAAAGAAAGTTCTTGGATTTACCGCGAAATCGCTACCAATAATTACAGTGGTATGAATAACGTGGCGTTCCTTAATGTCGGACCAGAATCTTCGATTCTACTTGACTGCGAGTCCGACTGCGATGCGCATTTCCTTTCGCTAGGAATCAGGCGTTCTAATATGGCGCCCGATAGTGATTAACGACTCGAGAAACTCGAGGAGAAAATCAGCCTGAATTGAGTAGTGTCAGATTGTTTAGGATCCAAGTATTATAGTACATAGAAAGACCACTCGGACTAATCGTCTCGTCTTATCTGATGCAGATTTAGAAAAGTAAAATATAGCTTGTGTTACAGAACTGTATGTAATACACACCTTGTTGCAATCGTTTTGTAAATAACAATTTATACTGTGTATTATACGAGGGGAAATCAGAAAGTAAAGTGAACTTATTTATTAATTTTGTACGTACAAAACATATTAGCAAAATACGTGTACATTATTTCTCAATATAATCGCCCAACCTAATAATGCACAATGTGCTCTTTGCTTCCTGTTTCTTGTTTTTTATTGTTTATTTCGTGGCGACTCGCCATTAGAGGTTCACGGAACTCACTCGTTTCGCGTGATAAAAACATGATAAAATGTTTACAAAGAGGGAAAAAGGCAAAAGACAAAAAGAAAGAAACAGGAATCAGAAAGCACATTGTAGATTAGGCTTTTGTATAACGGTCCACAAGTTTTCATAGGTCCAATTTTTCATTATCTGGTTAACTTGTGATTAGGTTTAACCTGATGTTTCATTCAATGGGCTTCATCTATGATGATATCCACCATTTATGAAAAAAGCTGTTCTCAAATCCACATATACACCGTTTCCTAAATTCTAAGACAACTGAGACTTTTACCTTGTTATAATAACGTTACCTTGTTATAATAACGATTTGGTAATGACGTTGTGAATTTTTTATGGCGATAATAGTAACATTAGAGTTAGAAAAGTCAAACGTTACTTATAACAGGTTGAAAAAGTCATTCGTTATTGGAAAAATAACTCCTAATTTGTAAAGCGCTACTTTTTACTCGTTACTTCTACTCATTGCTAATTGTTACGCGTTACTCGTTATTTATTATTTTTTTCAGTAAATAACACGTAATGGTGACAAGTACTTTTCAAAGAGACTCTTCTAACTTAAGCACAATTTTAGCACTTAGTTAGTTAGCGTTACCGTCATTAAAAATTGCAACATCGTCATCAAATTGTTTATTATAAAAAGTAACAGCAAAGTAACTGAAAAATAGCATTTGCCAATCCTGATTATTTATCATTAAAGTTTACGGAAAAAAATCTTAAAGATACAATTGTTTTCATAATTATATTAGAAAATTACAACTTGAGTATAGATTTGTTAATCGATTTAACTCGTTAATCGATTTGAATGTAATTGATTGTATAATTTAATTAAAATAATCCAAATATTGGGTAAAGGAAAAAGTCCTTTTAAAAATTGGTAAAAAGACTTTTTTCAACAATTAATATATTCTACTTTAAAAAACTTGGCAATTACACCACTTAATAGAGCAACATTTTAACTTAAGAATCTGTATTTTTAATTGCAATACGATAATTTTTAACGGAGCAATTTTTATGAGTCAGAATGTTCCTTTTTATTTAATCCGCGAATAACTCAGGAACAAAAAATCGTAGGAACATTTAAAAAAATGATTTTATAGGGAAAGCTTCAAGCTTTCACAATGGATAGTCAAAAATTTGTTCAAATTTTGTTTGGACACGCTATAGACCTATACAAAGTGAAAAGAAAATTTTTCATTTTTTTCAGCTCGTAATTTTCTATATGTAAAAATTACAAAGCTCACATAAATTCAAAAAATATAGTAACCATTTGAAAGTAGAGATCTCAAGCTTTAAAACTTTCCTTTTTTTAAACTTAAATTTTGATTATTTTTAACAAAAATATTGATAGGGGAAGATCTTTTTTTACTAACGTGTAAAAAGACTTTTTTCCTAACTCAATATGTAATTGTTACATACAATGTAACTAACGCGTAAGCGTTCAGTCTTACGCATTGCTTCATTCTATCTTAGTAATAATAAATGAGAAAAGAATATAGAATGAAGTTTACAGCGTGAGCACCCAAAGCGGGTGGACCTCATGTCTACGAGTATGAAGCTCTTAAGCTTCGAACGGCAATTGGACTGCGCATGGGACGATAAGATAAGAAGAGTAGCAGAAGGCGGAGCCGAGTCAAAAATCGGCCGAGACGTGCAAATCGTACCGAGCCCTGCTATAAAGCATTAATTGCTCTTATTCTAATTACAATTACTATTAATCAATTAACAATTAACAATTAAATAATTGTATATAATAATCTGTTCACAATTACTTTTCGCAATTAATACATTTAATTGTTTTCAGCAATTAATAGTTACGAAATATAATTACTTATAATTGAATTAATAATTACATTATAATTGTAATTTATAATTGTTAATTGAATTACAGTTTTGCACAACTCTGCATCAATGTAAGATTAATTTTAATCTCGGTTCAACTTATTCTTCATCTTTTTCTTAGATTTATTGACCGAGATAAAATTAATCTTACATTGATAGAACCAGGAATTCCACCAGAAAAAAAGATAAATAATAAATTGGAGTTTAGAAATCGATGCATATACGTTTTTGAGGGCAACTAAAAATCTTCTTTGCAGATGCAATCCAAAGACTTATGGATTGTTACACAAAATTTGTTCCAAACTAACGTTTATAAGTGAGGAATAAATAAATTTACTTTACTTTCTGATTTCCCCTCGTATATAACCTTTTAATTTTTTAAAGGTGGCGAAATCAGCGTGGGGTGAAGGAATTTATTACATCTTATCTCACTGCAACCACCAAACTACAAGACCGCTTGCATCCTTTGTGGAAATGGAAAACGGAATAAAGTTGATGAGCAGATTGAAATAAATTCACATGAATGCGCAAAATTCTAAATGAAACGCACACCGTTTGCAGAGATCAATTGTCGATAAACGGAGTCACCTAGTGAACTTTGCGCACTTGATCTCTACCAATTTCTAATCGTTCGGTAAAACGATGGATACATCGAGGCCGTGTCATTGGCTTCTAGCTGCAGTCATCCTGAGTCTTTCCTCGAGCTTGATGACGAGCGAGGTAGAGCAATTTACGAAATCTGATTCCTCGGTTGTCGATGTGCGAAGAGATGAAACCAATCATACTGAGGTGGTGATAATCCGCCGGCGAAGATACGTGCGATTTCCAACAGGATCTGCTTATCTCCTTGAGGCCGGTTCAACGCCACATGGCAGGAATTTTGGACCGCATCCGGTCACACGTTTCATTCCACAGACTCAGTTCCCAGGGTCGTGGAGACAACACAAGTCCTTCTGGAGAACTCCCGCCGATTACAACAGGCCGGTGATGTCCCATCGGACACCACGACTAATATTCCGTGACAACGATTTCCTGCCGCCGGTCGGAGGTGGTGCGGCTTCCTTTTTCCAGCAGTCTAACCAGTTGCCAGATTTCGAGGACGATATCAGAGGTAAAATATCCACTTTCTTTTTACTTTTCTTTTTTTGAAATACTAAATCTAATCTTTATTACAGCCACTTAGAGAATATATTTTCCATTTGTGGATTAATACTATTATATCTATCTCTTTTATTCTTTCTGTTGGAATCTTTAACTCTTCTGTCAATAATTTTTCGCTTTTTCACTACTGTGTTTCACAAGGTTCTCGTAAAATCTAAAAATAAAAACAAGATAAAGCTTGTGTAAAATTGTTTTTTTTTGTCGTTCAAAGAATGGAATTTTTAAAATGTCATGATCAAATTCACATAAAAAAATAAAAAAAATTTACTAAACAATTTGATATGAATACCCCGTGCATTGACAGAAAGGCTAAAATAAATATTTGACTGAAAATTATAGAGATACATTTTTTTTTACTTCCATTATAATTTCTTGAACTATAAACTGTAAATTGCATATAATTTCTAATATAATTAAACGATTCAGATTCATGTACGTTAAATACACGTTCTCAATGCTTCAAATGCAGTATTAGAAATTATGGGTTAGACACCTCTAATACTTAGTAGACATATAAGCAATCTTTCATATAGGCCTACATTTATCCTTGCTCGTTATTCTTTGAATGCACAATAAATAACTTTTCCCTTTTACTTTCTTCCTTTCCTTTGCGTACTCGCGTAATCCCGTCATTTCTGGTAATTCAATTTGCTGTGCAAACATCAGCGCTTCATCAACGGAGTGCTTAGAGAAGCGTGCAAATACAAAAATACATTATTATATGAAACTTTCAAAGTATTTCAATTATAAACGAACCAACATATATCTCTTCAATTATAAACGAACCGACGCGATCGAATAAACTAATTCGCAAGCGTAGGATGTGTAATACCGGTGCAATAAACTGTGACAATTACTAATTTATCATTATGAATTACGTATATAAACCGTATATGCAAAAATGTTGGACGGTATTTAATTTTAAACAATATTAAACTAAGTAATCTTAAACAGCTATGAGAATAAAGTCAATTCATTCTCATATTCATAGTCATTAACTCTCAATTTATTTTCTCTTGTAATTTTAAATAATTTGTTTGAATTATTTATTGAATTAGAAATTTTATGCATTTTTTTCAAGATCAAAATTGAACGGCCTATTCTTTTTGCAGGAAACATTTTTTTTCTTTTGTTTTACTATGACGCTTTTCCAGAATAGCATCTTTATTTCAGATCTCCGAAAACAGATGCCGGATGATTACCCTAGATTGGAAACAGGTACGTGCAACTTGTCAGCGGAATTACAAAGTTCGATAGCCGTAACGATGTTATTTCAGGGAATTTCCAATTCTCTTTCCAAATTTGCGATTTCTTAATTGATCGCCTCGATGACTTCGTCCTCTCGCGTAAATTCATAAAAATCGGATGATTAGTCGCGCAATATCCTACTTCTTAATGGCGCGCGAAACTTATTTCCATTACAGTCGACGACTTCCGTCGTGGTTCAAGACACGGAAATCATTACGACATCGTCGACGTCGCGCTTTGTCGCTGGACGGTAAATCGTTGTTACGCTGAACTACGAGGTCCTTTTACGATTGTCCAAATATTTCTCTATAGAAAATCTGTTAGAAAAATGATTAATATTACCATGCTGATACTTTTTCTATTAATCACATTTATTACCTTGAACAGTCTTATTCTAATAGATTTCAGCAAGATTTAATCGTTTAATTGTCGTTTAACACTACTTTGTTTTAGACAAATTATCATAGAATTAAGTTAGAAATAATATGATCTTCAATTAAAGTAAAAATTAAATAGTTGAAAGTTTAATTAATTCTTTGCGTTTTGCTAAACAGTCGGAAATTTGTATTAAATTTGATACATTTCATGTTTACCAAACGGTCCATCAAAATTTTTGTGTTAATTATCACAAGCTAAATATGCTAGAAAACATTATGTAAAAGTTAACACAAAAATGTAACACTGACACAATTTGTATTCAAATTGTATATTTTTTCAGTATAATTAACATTTATAATATGATAAATTAACATTTATATGTTAAATTAACATATTTTATTTATTTATTATTTTAATATTTACATTTTAAAATATATTATTTTTATATTAATCATTTATTTATAGATTGTGTTGTTTCGGCGATTAAGAACTATTAAACATTAATTTAATACAAAATATTCAAATAACATTACCACATTATCTTAAATTAACATTCGGATATGTTAAAAATTTAATACAATGATTTTTTTTAACAAGGACCGATTTTAATACAAATACAAAAAGTTTTTTATTCTGTATGCCCAGACTATTAGTCCTGGATTTTAACTTGCGGCCGTTTTATCTTTTGAAGTTCGACTTGGAGTAATCGGTGAAAATGAAAACGGCGGCTTTACATTTCCTTCAATTATTGCTTGATAATTGCATTAAGCATATATGATTAAGTATCGAAAAATTGATTCGAAAGATTTGCATTCTATAAATAGTTTCAACTTCTATAGCACTATTAGGACCATTATGTGTCTTTAAACTGTTAATATGTAGCAGTCACAATTGTATCTAGTTGATCGATATTAATAAGTTGTCAATTTTAATAATGGACATCCGATTGAGAGGAGTCGCATTCTCGCGAAATCTCTCTGATTCCTGTTGCCGGTTAATATAGTCATATAGATTGAGATTAGATTAGTAACCGCAATGACGTCTTTCCGCACGCAAACCTGTTCGGACGTTTTCTTCTTCGGCCAGACTGGAATTGCGACCGCGCATAGCTCGACAGTCGCTCAGGACGATTACGTAACTTGACAGTCGTGGAAGACAAGAGTTTCCATATTTTCTGCAGAGATGCGTCAACAAAAAAGACCGCTGTGGAAAGGCGACGATACATTGTGTGCGGACGGACGGAGCTGCGAATTTTTTCTAATGTGCTGGATGACTGCTGGCCTATTGGACGGCAGCTGCGGCGGCATTATGTACGCGTGTTGTCAGCGGAAAGACCCCACTAAAGCTCTCACTGATTATAACCTGATCGAGTCACCTAGAGATCAATCTCGGCCACTTCCACTGGATTTGTACACGGAGACCGACAGCGACGATCGTAAGTCCTTCCTTCGAAGAGCATGCCATCCGTTTTAACAGCGCACTTGAAAGCATGAGATCTTATCCATAGACTTCTGTATATTATAACCGCTAACACCTAGAATTCAATAAAATGTAAAGCTAGTAGCCATATTTACCGTAGAATAATATGCACTGTGCACTAAGAATATGTGCGGTTTAAATAAAATAAATAAATAAATAATAGACATTGTCGATTTTAAATGAAAAAATTGAAAAATGCCCATGATGTGTTGCATAACTTGGTAATACATTAAACCTTTGTATCTTGTTTATGATTTTTACTCCACATTATATATGATGCACAGCTTCAATAAAAAGACCGCTGTTAGCGGTTTACTCTGTTAAATAGCAAGGAGCAATGATAACTCAATCCGTTAAGTTAAATAACATTTTGTCATTCTCAAAACTTCCATATGTATCAAAATGTAAATCAATTTATTTCAATAATTAGTTTTAAAGTAAACAACCTCCACAAATTAAAGTATATGCAGTTACTAAATAATATACTTTTGAGCAAAGTTTAATGTTCTTGAGTAAATTGTCTAACTCCATTGTTTTAGTTAAATTAACGGCACATTGAATAGATGCTGTGGCGATTTATAGAAATGATAAAACAAAAAAACTCAAATTGAGTATAAATTGACGTCATGAATTTAACAGTGTAGTGTAATATATAGAAGTTTGTACATTTACCTTGTCTCTTAAGTCTTCCTTCTTTCTCTTGTTCTTCTTCTAATTTCCTGTCGACTACTTTGTCATCAATTATTTCACGACTTCACACGTTTGCGTGTATTCCAAGCATGCAATTCTACTTCTTTGCCCTTTATCTAAAAAAATTGCATAGTTTCCTTGCCGGATGTCTTCCATTTATCGTCTTGGGTTCTTTTTTCCTTCTAATATCAATAGTTCTTTTATTCGTCGACACATATTTTATGTTCCTTCGATCTTTTCTTAATCTGCATGTACGTGATATACAATCCAAGCATGTTAAGTAAAAAAGTTCTGCCTTTTCACATGCATGTTTGTCTAAAAAGTATTTTTATTGGTATTGTAACATTGTGTTTCTTCCACATGATTATCCGTCTGAATTCCAATAAATGTCTGTTGACGGTCGTCTCCTTGATCCCTTTGCATTTTTCACAGCGAAATAAAAACAGTTTTATCAAAAGCAAGTGTTCGCTTGAACGAAGAAGTGTAATTCTTGTTGAATTAATGAATAAAAAATTACACAATAGAAATCCTTTTTACAAAGGAATAGTATAAACTCTCGAAATTTATAGAAAGTGCAACAGGCGAATGGATGTAGATATCATAACAGCTGTCGTCGTTCGCGGATTAATTTTCTAGTGGTGAAACGCAGTTTTTCTGCATCGCCATCGGCTCATAAAACTTTGGCGATCTATGCTCCGTCTCCTTCTCATAATCTGCTCGATAAAACGCTTCGTTGCATTTGCGACAACCGTTTTTCGCAAGGGATCACTTTAAACAACGTAATGCACTAATAAGCGCATGAATTTGTTCGCGACTAATTGAAAAATATCCTTGTAATACTCTTCGCAGTTCTAAAAAAAAAGTAATTTAATAAATCTAAAAGATCTTTTACCTTTCCTATAATTCAAATTGTAATATATCGTGGAATAAAATTAACAGAGTTTTAGAATTTTTATTCTTCTCAAAGCGTTGTAATTCAAAAAATAACTATACCGCATGTTTACATGTACAGAAATAGTTATTGTAATAATTGTCTAGGACATTATTTTAAATTGTTGATTTTAAAATGTATATATGATGAGTATTTCATGTGATGATTTTAACTTCGATGAATTATAAATATTATTATATTGTTTAAGTTATTTATAAAAGATATAATAATCTAAAATAAAAGTGTATATGTATACATATATATCTAAATTTTCCAAATTTATGTTCTTCAAATGATGCAAATTTAATTAAAAATATGATTTCCAATTACTATCAATGAACACTTGTTCTTTAATTAAAAATTATTTTTATCAACAGACTTAATTTAGGCTAACATTCGAACAATCATGAATATTGCTATTCTTTCACCTGTCAGACGATGTTTGAGTAAGTGAGTAATATAGCACCAAGAGTTACTTGATTACCGTTAAAATTACTTAGTTACATGCAATGCAGACCAAGGCTCAACATTAAAATCAAACAGAAGGAGTTATTAAAGAATCATCGCATTACTCCAAGTCCAATTTCGGCAAGAGAAGAACGGGGAAGAAATATCGTGATCGATTATTGTATATCTTTGACAGTTTGCGGCTTGACTTAAAGGTGTTGATGGTCATAGAACTATATTTAAGCGTCATTGCGCGTTATTGTAATTACAGGTTGCGGCAGATAGAATTTCCATGTTCTGTGCACACAGAATAATTCAGGATTCTCACTGTTTTGTTTATCGCAAAAAGATAGCTTTTCGCTCAATTACTTCGCGTATATATAAATATTATTCTAATTACTATACTACAAGAGTTCTGCCGTTCATCCGGAATTAATTTACTTGATATCTGCTGTCTATTTCAGAAGGAAAAATTTGGCAACTCTAGAGCAAATCTTCACGCCAAATAATTAGACCTGATAACCACCCTAATTTTAACAGCGACACTTTAATTGCATGCGAATCCAGGCCATTGTGTTTTGCAGGTTGCGGCATACCAATCGTCTCGAAACAAATTGCGCAGAGGAGGATCGTCGGCGGTGACGAGGCTGGTTTCGGTAGTTTTCCGTGGCAGGTCAGATATCACAATAATGTGAGACACTTTAAGTCTAATACATAATTAAAAAGTACAGAAACAGGAAATAATATATTTCAATCTATCGGAAACTGTGTATTCTGATATAAACTGTTTCTAACATAGAGATTGAAATCTATTATTCTATTCTTATTGCCTGTACTTTTCAATTATGTGTTAGGCTTTAGTTCGGATTTTGATAAAACTTATCGTTAAAATTATTTTTCTTTTTTGGCAGGCTTACATACGGATTGGTTCTAGCAGATGTGGCGGCACTTTGGTCAATCGATTTCACGTTGTCACCGCTGGGCATTGCGTTGCAAAGTGAGTGGGGAACAATCTGTTTGTATATGCGCGCGCGCAAGTAACTCATTAGCAGAAATCATTATCTCTGAATTCTTTTTGATGAGAACGTAAACTTGTATAATTTTGAAATAAGTATTAAATTTTAAATGCAAATTATATTACTAATTAGAATATTTAATAAATTTTTCGAATGTTAGAGCGTCGGCGAGACAAGTCCAGGTTACTCTCGGCGATTATGTGGTGAATTCCGCGACCGAATCTCTGCCAGCTTATACTTTTGGAGTTCGAGAAATCAGAGTGCATCCTTACTTCAAATTCACGCCACAGGCAGACAGGTGTGTTCGCATGTATTACTAACAACACCTCATATGAATACCTCGAATGCACGTCGTGAATGCTGAACAGAATGAACTCTATTGATTTCACGTCTCTCATATTTGTTATTTATCAGGTTTGATGTGGCCGTGCTTCGATTAGATCGACCGGTTCATTACATGCCCCATATAGGACCCATATGCCTACCAGAGAAAAATGAAGATTTTTTAGGGCAATACGGCTGGGCTGCAGGATGGGGTGCTTTGCAAGCAGGTAGAACTTAGCAAAAAAATCGTTTCATTCGTCCATTACAATTTTAAATTTATTTATCGTCTTATAAATTCTAGGTTAAAATACTTTAGCTCTAATTACCGAATAATTTCTTGCAGTATTAATATAATAAGCATTACTTTGGTGAAAAAATTTTTATTGGTGAAAAATATTTTTAAAAGTTTTAATATTTTTTTAAAGTAATAAAATTTAAAATTTATAAAGATTTCTGAAAAAGTATTTTAAACTTTTCCAAAGTTTTTACAAATTTTTTTTCAATTGTGAAATGAGAAACTTTATAAATCTTAGAATATTTTAAGATTTATAAAATTTCTCATTTCACAATTGAAAAAAAATTTGTAAAAACTTTGGAAAAGTTTAAAATACTTTTTCAGAAATCTTTATAATTCTTTGGAAAAGAAATAAAATCTTTATAAAACTTTATAAAAGTATTTATAAAATACTTATAAAAGTATTATGAAAGTATAAAAGTATTTTATAAAGTAAAGTATTTGATAAAAGTATTTATAAAAGTATTTATTTATTTTTTATAAATCTTTATAAAACTTTGGAAAAGTTTAAAATACTTTTTTAGAATTCTTTATAATTCTGAAGTATATACTTCAGAATTATAAATATAACAGAAAGAATTATAGAAAAGATTTTTTACTTTCTCAGTACTTCTGAAAAGTGATCCAATTAAAAAGATTTGAGAAATTTTCTAGAAAGTTATAAAATTATACAGAAATTCTGAAAAACAATTCTGAAATATTATAAAAAATTTTAGAAAAAAATTCACAGAGTGACTTACATGCATATATATTCAAAGAAAGAAATGAAGTATCCCACGCTTAATTTTATATTGATTTGCTATAAATAATCTTGTCATTGGCTATGTTCAGCAAAAAAAGCAGCTTTACAACTGTTGTAAAATTCTTTAATATGATTGGCCTTGCCCTTAGTTTCTCACTGGACCTAAATGTATAAACCAATTATATTCGAGAATTTTAGAGTTGCAAAGCTGCTTTCTCTGCTGAACGCAGCCATTTACCTTTTGTCAATTGTCTCGTTATACGAATTATTTTATTTAGGTTCTAGATTACGACCGAAAACGTTGCAAGCGGTAGACGTGCCCGTGATCGATAATCGTCTCTGTGAGCGATGGCATCGGTCCAATGGCATCAACGTCGTCATTCATGACGAGATGATGTGTGCCGGTTACCGCAGCGGCGGTAAGGATTCGTGTCAGGTAAGCGCTTTCGTCACCGTGGGTGCGTACTGTTTGAACGATTAATTGTCGTTCAGCTTCCTTCTTCTCCCGTCTTTTCTTCGTGAATGTGTTTTCTCAAGAATACATTTAAATTTCAGGGTGACAGTGGAGGTCCGTTGATGTTGGAAAAAACTGGTCGATGGTACCTCATCGGCATTGTCTCCGCAGGTTATTCCTGCGCACAGCCAGGCCAACCAGGGATCTATCATCGCGTGGCCAAAACTGTCGACTGGATCACGTATGTCATAAACTCGTAACGCGTCCTCAACCGCGGAAGAACTATTCTCAGGAGGAGAGATCTTGAGAATCCTGAAGAGCCACGAACTTTGCATGACACAAAGTTCGGGTATCCTTCATGTTAGAGAATGATTTCCGGGATCTAGATCTCGTCTGAGAAATTATTCTTCGAGTGATCAGTCTGAGAAGCAACATGACAAAAGAGTTTAACGACAAGGTTAATTTAAACTGACTCTTAGAGAACGGACCATGCCTAAAAAAATTAAGGGGATGTTGGAGCGCCGGCTGAACTTGATCAAGGTTGATAGTACAGACCATGATGTAAGGATACTAGAGATTTGTTCGCGTCGTATGTTACAGCATGCTCCAATGTGCTCCTGCTATATATAACTCTTACTCACTTCAACGAGCGCGTTAGAGTGAGTAATTGCTATGATAGCAGCATTTTAGAGCATGTTAGAGCATGCGACGCGAACGAACCACAGGTGTTCACGTTTTACATAATGGCGATAGTAATACTGGGAACAACCAATCAAATTTTTACCCAAATTGACTTTCCTGCGTATAATAGCGCTGGCATATTGGAATAGCCAATCAAATTTTTGCCCAAATTCACGCTGCTACTGCGCAACTACGGGAACGAAACACCTGGTATTCTTGCATAGACTTTTTTTAAATTCCAAATTCGATAATAGTGACATCTTTTATTCATTTCTTATATTTATTATATATCGTGTGTCAAACGCAGTCATCTGTCCTTATCTAATAGAGATCCTATAACATAGATATAGGCCGGTATTCATAGTCAGATCTTATATTCAAGACCGTCTTAAGTACGGTCTTAAGAAGTCACGAACCAATCAGAGGGCTGCATTAGCGTCTTAAGACATTACTTAAGATGGTCTTGAAATAAGAATCGACTATGAATATCGGTCTATGTCTATGTCCTATAATCAGAGTTTGGCGAATGTGGACCAAAGTGGAGGATAGAAAGAGATAACAGATATTGCTTTCTCTTATAAACGCATACGCAAAAGTGTTAGAATACGTGACGGGCAATACGTGATGACAATACCTGAAGAAACCCATCGAGTTGATCAATTGACCGAATTGTGCAATTGTAATTTGTTAATTTTCTCTTTATTCAAAATCTCGAAGCGATTTCTAATCTCTTTGACACAGGTTTTACTCATTTGCTTATAGCTATCTATCTTTTTCTTTTCTTCGCACTCGGTTTCCGACAATGTACGAAGCTATCCGAAGAATATCGAATGGACCAAAGTGGAGAATCAATCAGAAGTTGTGCCCGCTTTCGCCAAACTCTGATTATTATCTCTAACAGCTGCATTCAGTAATGTCGCTCGGATGAATTAATGTTAAACAAGGACAAAATGATGAATCCAAGGCATCGGATCCCAGGTAGCAACCTCATTTTATTATTTTGACGTTAAATGATGTCATTTTGACGTCAGCTTGCTATTAGAGAGGCATCCGAGCGACATTACCAAACGCAGCCACTATCTAACATATTGCAACACCATCTCTTACAAGATCAATCATCTACTGTTAGACATAGTTATTACTTTGTTTACCATTTCGAATCTCTCAGCAATCATATCAAAGAGCTACTACTGGAGAGGGAATACGGACGTTGAGTTATGAGCAAGATCTAAAAAACAGAAATATCTTTCTATCCTCTTCTATCCTCTTTTGGCACATGCGCAGAAAGAAGAAAAGTTACTGAGTGGGACAGAATAGTGGGACATCTTCTATTTCTCAGATCTTGCTCACACTTTCCACTCATTGCTTGGATAGACCATTCCCCCTCCAGTAGTATAAGTTTTATGATAATTCATATGCGCTGCGCGCGCGCGCGTAATTTGCAGGTTGATATAAATCTTTCTTTTTAAGCTTTTAATCTTATTCACATTACTCATATTATTCACATTAAGGTCTTAATAAATCATTTATTGTTTAAATAAATGATTTATTAAGACCTTTGTAAGCTTTTAATCTTAATTTCATGAATTCAGTATTGTTTGTGCACGTAAAACGTTGGGTGCTGCATTGTCGTTTTGTCCATAGGAGCTATAAAACTTTTGCATTAAAGAAACATCTACGTTAGATAACAGCTCTACAAGTTGAAAAAAATGTAAGTTTTTAACTTTTTTTCGATTTTACTATAAAGTGCACTGTAGCACCATCAAATTTTGCGTCTACTTTAATCCTGTAAAAGGATTTTTGAGTTCAGTATATTCGGAGATTTATATCGATCTGCAATGTCCCCACAATTTGGTCACTTCAACATCCCCTTAAAGCCATTTTACTTTACACGAATGTAAAAGTACCGCAAATGTAAGTGACTTGGGACATTGTAGGTAACTTGGAATAACATGTACTTTTGTTAAATTCAATCACACATGAATGGATACCACAATTAAATTTAACAAACATACATGCTGCCTCAAATTACCTACACTGTCCTAAGTCACTTACATTTACAGTAATTTAGAGTGAAATTCACATGTCGTACAGTGGAGCAGAAATCGAAGAACGCGTGCATAAATAGAAAACTCGAATTCTAGATAAAGAAATTATATCAAACTTTGTATATATAGGTTTGGAAGGTAACTAATTATAAATCTGATTTCCAAATAAAAGGATTAAAAATGGCGGATATAACATGGCAGCACGAAATTTTACAATTAAACATGTACAGGGTGTCCCAGAATGATCGCCAAATATTTTGTATGCTGATAGAGCGGATTAAACTGAGTCCTTTACCATTTTGCAATTTTCGCAATAGTAACAAGATATAAAAATTCGTCGAATATATTGGCCTTTAATCATTTTTTACTCACGTATTATCAACTTTATAAAAAAGCAACAAGAAGCAACAATTGTTTATTTTCTTCTCATAGAGCTCTAAGAATTTTTTAAAAATTTTTTATAAATTTTTTAGTACTACATTTTTTTATTGGCAACTATTTTACCAACATGAGAAAATGCAGTATTAAAAAATTCTTAAAAAATTTTTAGAACTTTATTAGAAGAAAATAAATAATTTTTGTCACTTATTGTTTTTCTGTAAGGTTAATAGTACTTGAATAAAAAATTATTGAAAACTAATATTCAGCGATATTTTGTAATTAATATCTTGTTAATTACTACGAAAATTTCAAAATGATAGAGAACTTTTCGACTTACAAGGGGAACACCAGGTGATGGAGTCGGGGATTTTTATACGCTTTTTACAGGCTGTTCTTAAGCAAAAAAAAAACGATACATCTCCGGCTGTTTCATTGGCCCATAGTTTCGAAGAAATCGATTTTTTAAATAATTATTGTAATAACTTTAAAAACGTACTGTATAAACGAAAATATCAGTATTTTTATAAATTTTATTTACTGTTATTTTAATTACTTTTTGATTGTAATAAAATTACATATTAGTATTATAGATAGTAATTAAATACTTATTTATGGAATATTTAAATATTATTATCATCGTTCTCGTCGTCGTTGTTGTTATTCACATGAACGTATAAATAAGATTGTAATGAAAACTGTTACAGTTTTTTATGAATTTAGAAATTGGAAATTATGATTAGGAACAAGTAAGTCATATGTTTGTAATCTTCTTTTGATTAACATTATTCGATTTATTAATAATAATAGAATACTAAAATCGCGTGTTTTGTAGACGATATTGTACGAGATGATATAAATCATAAAAACAAGAAAAACATAAATATTTATTGCACTGTGAACATTTTACGAATGAATTTTACAATAAATTTCATTATAGAAAAATTTGGCTCTCATCAAAATTGATTCCTAAAAGAAGCTATTTCCATAATATCAATCAAATCTATTTTCCGCCAGATATTAGAAAAAGTTATTGTGTCTGCAACAAAAATTCATTCATAAGACGTTCACAATGGAGTAAATATTTATGTTTTTCTTGTTTTTATGATTTATATTATCCCGTACATCTACAATGTACGTCTACAAAATACGATTAGTTTTCTATTATTATTAATAAATCGATTAATATTAATCAAAAGAAGATTACAAACATATGACTTACTTGTTCCTAATCACAATTTTCAATTTCTAATTTTATTAGAAATCATAACAATTTTCATTACAATTTTATTTATGCGTTCATGTAAATAACAACAATGATGACGATAACGATGATAATAATATATAAATATTCCATAAATAAGTATTTAATTACTATCTATAATATTAATATGTAATTTTATTACAATCGAAAAGTAATTATATCCTTCCTTACATAATAGTTTTCCACACGAAAGGAGTTCCACCCCAAGTTCCCCCCTACCAAGGGATGAAGTGACATTCACCCCACCTCCCCTTCTGCTTCAGGGGCGCACGACTTTCATGCGAAGCGACTTTCATCCTACTTCCCCTCTTGTTTCAGGGGCGCATGACTTCCATGCGAAGTGACTTTTACCTCACCTTTCCCCTTTGCTTCCCACACAGCATGTAATATTGTAGTAATTTTGAAGTAATATTACAAATTTGCTGTAATATTGCATAGTAATATGTTAGTAATATTATATAAATGTCGCTGCAATATTAAATGTCTGCGGCAAATTTATCGCAGTAATATTTCTGCGATATTTTTGTAATATTACTGTAATATTAGACAATATTTCTACATATTATACTAATATTTTGCAATATTGTGATAGTATTTCTATGTACTGTAGTAATATTGCACTAATATTACATATTACAAATATCGCTACAATAATAAATGTTAGCAAAAAATTGATCGCAGGAATATTTCTACGATAATTCTGCAATATTGCTGCAACATTATAATATATTAATCCAGTTTTATTAATTGCTAAAGTATTATTGTTTAATATTACACTTTAAAGTACCTATGATAAAGTCATGATAAAAAAACATTCGTAGGCCTAGAAAGCACTCCTAAAAAGATTGGGAATCTCTGGGAGACACTCGATTTGATATTCCTTCTTATAGGACTGCTTGACTGTTTCTTCTTACGAGTAGCGTGTCCCTCTTGTGGCTGGGCCGCGTACTTATCCCTCCAGCACAAAATATTACAGCAATATTTCAATAATGCACAATATTACAAAAACTGCAGCGATATTGTTGCACTATTGAAATAATAATACTTTATTGGAAATATTGCTACAATATCGCAAAATATTGTAATTTTAATTTTGTAGAAAATATTGCAATATATTGTTGCAATAGTACA